TTTTTAAAAGACACTCCTGTGGTGGTGGCAGTGACTACACTGTACACTGATAAAAGTCTCTGGCAGGAGCAACAGTTTTACTTCCTGAACAAGAACAACCCATGTACAAACTTGATACAGTACCACACATCTCATTAAACAAACCTCACAATGCGAGATGGAAAGATGTGGGTTACAAAATAAAACATGCCATGTCCTACACAGACTACAGTCCCCTGGAGGATGGATGGAGCTACAGTCACAGTTGTGGAATGTGGAGAAAAACTTGTGAAATTGTGACCTGTGAGGCTGTAGTCCACCCTCTAGGATGACTAGAAGACAATGTTTTCCTTTCTGAGGAGGATGAGGCTGACTTGAAGGGAATACCAGAAAAATTGTGGTCAACCAGCCCCTCTGATGTAGGCCACTTGACCTTAACATCTCCTGGCCAGATCAAACCAAAAACAAACTGGCGTCCAAGAATTAAACATTATCCTTTAAAACAAGAAGCTGTAGCAGGAATAGCCTCAGTTGTGTCTGACCTGCTAAAAGGAGGAGTCATAACACAATGTTCTGACTCACCCTGCAACACACAATCTTTCCTGTACAAAAAGCTAATAAAACAGACTGGAGAATGGTTCAAGATTTAAGAGCTGTAAATGAGGCTGTTCAAACTAGAGCCCCAAATGTTCATGACCCACAAACTTTACTAAATACTCTGAAACCTGACAACAAGTACTATACAGTAATCAACTTAAGCAGATACTGCTCCAACAGGTTTCAATAATCTAAAGAAAAAACTGATGACCCATGGTCCTTGCCATGTGTCAACAGGAGGGATGATATCTATCATACAGAAGCATTTTCTTACTTAAAAAAAATAAAATTTCTGTAAAGCTTTGCACATAGATTTTATTGAACTAACACAAAGTGGACCTTACAAATATTGTTTAGTCATGGTAGATGCTTTCTCAAAATGGGTTGAAATTGTTCCATCAAAACATGCAAATGCAAACTGTCTCTAAAAAAAAATCACTGTGCTTACCACCCACAGAGTGCAGGACTGGTAGAAAGAACAAATGGTACTATTAAGAGCAGACTAAGAAAATGTATGGAGACCACAGGTCGAGCCTGGCCAGAGTGCCTGGACCTGGTGAAACTCTATATGAGAATAACTCCAACATCACAGGGTTTAACTCCTTTTGAAATCATTCATGGCAGACCATATCGTCTATCTCTGTTCTTGTCAGATTTAGAAAAAGCAGAAGAACAGACATTAGCAGATTATATGATTAGAACACTGAAACTGAAGGACGTTGCAAATGCAAATTTACTGTCATCTGATTATCCTCCCCCGCAGGACAAGCTCATCATCAAACCAGGTGACTGGGTCTACGTCAAAGTGATCAAAAGGAAGAACTGGGCCAGCCCACGTTGGGAGGGACTGTTCCAAGTACTGCTGACCACGCCTACTGCAGTAAAGATCGCTGAAAGACCCAGCTGGATACATCTCAGCCACTGTAAGTTGCAGAAAGTGCTGGATCTCTAGGTCATTGGAGCAGTGGGTAAGTCTGATATATAAAGGGGGCTTCCTTTATAGGGGAAGTCATCTCAAAACCAGTGAAGAAACCAACAATCCCTGCTCTATTAGGATTCTGAGATCCAGTGTTTCTGTATACTGAGCAGTAAGGGGGCCTCCACTCCTCAGGTGGATCCTCTGCTGCGTTGTGGTTGCAGCATGCTGTGTAACTTTGTGCATAAGCAGAGAAGCTCTCCCAAGAGGCAAAAGAGAGCTGACACACCCACATGACTACAGCACCAATCTGTGGTGGCAGCTGATGAACAAAACCACATACGAAGGGAACAAAGTCAACTGCTATGTGTGCGCCCACATGCCCTACGCCACTCACAACTCAGGCCTGAGACCAGGAAACATCACAATAGAGCAACAGAAGTGCCTGTATGGTCTGAGCACACACCCCGGCTACAACACCACATCACAACAAACCATCGAGTTGGAGCAGAGGAACTACTCCATACTCTGCAAGTTGCAACAAAAACCCACAAGCCCATAACTGATCAAGACTGCAGACAAATGGCAGACCTCCTGCCATTACCACAAATGACAATACAACTACCCGAACTGATTACCCTGGCCAGGACGAGGCCCGGCTCCCTTGCCCACTGTGTGTTCAACAATGGGACCACGACCATGGGCTCCGTCCCATGGAATCTGTGTGAAAAGGTACTCACTTTATGTGATTACACACCCAACTTTTTAAAATGTTTTTCTTGTATGGCAAGCAAAAACACCACGGGCGACTGTACCGCATACCAGGACCCAAAATGCGGATGCTATCTCCAACGCCGCATATTCAACATCAGCCTACAAACAAAAGGATGTCAAAACACCACTGGCTGCAGTGCCACCGTGCCAGGTGACAGAGGCTCCAGGACGCTGGCTGACTGGTACTTTCTGTGTGGCCACAGAGCCTACACTGCACTACCACCACACGTGGGGGGGGGGCTTTGTTCTTTGGTCCCCCTATCTAACCCCGTGATGCTCCTCAGAAAAAGCTCTACACCACTGACCAGGAAGAAACGTTCACCGATGCCCGAGGTGCACCGATGGGGAGGCCTCACCACCAGCACCGGCGTCCCATGGGAATACAGGATCTGAAATAGAGGTGAAAAATTCTTTCAAGGCCTATTCCCATGGGTAGAAATTGTAGAAGTTCGACAACATGTCGAGATCAACCGTTATACCCTTTTGCGCCTCATCAACGACACCTACAGACTGGCAAATGGAACAACAAAGAAATTGACTGCAACGAGAGACATGATCATCCAGAACCGTGTCATTTTGGACATGCTCACCGCCTCACAAGGAGGGGTATGTAAGATTATAGGAACGACATGCTGCACCTACATCCCAGATGAAACTGGAACTGGTGGAGACATCCATGATGCTCTAAACGACCTAGAACAACTGAAACGGTATGTGGACAGTGCAACATCAGGAGCACAACCCTTTGACCTTCTTTCATGGCTTACTTCTGGACCCTGGTGGCACCTGCTACTGAAGATCTGCACCCCCATCTTGACTGTGCTCATCCTCTTCACCCTGTTCATACCCTGTGTTGTCTCATGCTTGAAAACATGTGAAGACTTTCACTGGAGTGCTGGTAAACCCCCATCTGACAAAATTAACTGAAGATGACAACTATGTTCCACTTCAACAGGTGGATCCAGACGCCTATGCTCAACCTGAACAGTATGATGATGCCATTTAAAAATACATTAAAAATAAAAGCTAACTATACATTAGCCTGTGATTCTTGTACTGACACTGTGATAAGCAAAAGGTACAATGATGATGTCTGCTTTTGTATCAGTTGTGCTATGTACACATTAAAGTTTTCAAGTTTGGCATTGTTTTTATTTGTAAAGTTTTTAAGTTTCTACTCTTAAAGTTTTTAAATATTTGCTGTTCATAAAGTTTTAGCTCTTTAAGTTTCAAAAGTTTAATAATGTTTTATTTTATGAGTTTTACAGAACATTTAATCAATCTCAATCATTTAAAGCAAATAATTTTTAATCATCCTCGATTGTTTCTTATTCTTTAAATTTTACTTTTATGATTTAAAGTTCTTTAGGAACGTGTGTTAAAAATTTTCTTTTTATGAGTTGTATTTTAAATGAGTTTAAACTGATAAACAGGAGGGAAATGTAAGGGTTTTTATGTTATCATTTTAAACTGTTTCATGATTTCTGCACTTCTGTGCACACAAAGCAAAGAAGATTCTGGAAAAAAAGAACCATCAGTCCACGTCTGAGCTGATAGGAATTCTTTGTAATTACACAAGCTGTTTTTTCTTAAAAATGTTTGTTCTTTTGTAAAACCAGAAATGTCAAGGTTTATACATATCAACTCATATCCTCATATTCTCATCTACCTGCCAGCTGTGCTCGAGTGCCTGACCATTGAGATTGTGGAACTAGCAGGAAACACGGCTCATGACAGCGGAAGGACAGGATCGTCCCTTAGCACCTACAGTTAGCTGTCCGCAGCGACGAGGAGCTCGGCAGACTGCTGGGAGGAGTGGCCATCGCTCTGGGAGGAGTTCTGCCCAGCATTCAGGTGGTCCTACAGCTTCTCTTTCCTTTAACTGATACAAATGGCATCAGAAACTCATTACAGTAAGCATTTAATCAAAATGTTTTAAGATCACCTTGCCCTCGTTGTATAATCTGGCTAATCAAGATGTCCAGTTTTTTCCTCCTTCCTGTGTGAACAATAAAAAGATGAGCAGATGTGGAAAACGTTTGGAGTTCACAGTGAGCAGCATTAGAGGTTGTGACACTGTGGACTTCCCTTTTTGCAAAAAACTGTTGAAAATTTTTCTCTGTTGTCCTGTGTGGTTCTTTATTTTTCTAGGTACGAGAGAGAAATAACTAACAGTCATCTTTTTCTTTACCTGACTGTCCTTTTTCTACCCCCTTATCACAATATGAACATAGACTCTTCCTGCAGTCTAATACTCTAATCAGGTATAAATGAGCTGTAAAAAAACAAGGCAAAAAAGTTCATCAGTGATTGATAAAAATGATCTATAAATCTTCAACAATACCATCAGACTCCATACTATTTTCTTTATAAATAAAATGCTGGTTTACCATGGTTTTCAGAATAAACAAATATCCAAACACATTTAATAACAATTTAATTTAGTATCTTGTGCAAATATGTACAAAAACATCTCCATCCTCTGTGAGGTACGATTAATGTGAAGTCCAATAATACTTCAGAATGTCCAGCTTTAAACTCTTTCCTCCTGGGAAATGAGAAAGGGGAGTCTGAAATATGAAATTGCACAGCAGAAATATCCAGAACACCACAATGTAGAATGAACATCTATTGCCCTCAGGGGTACCTGGGGGTAGGAAGGAAAGTTGTGCAATAATCCCAAACGATGGGTCATCAGTCCTGTTTTTACACTTTGAAGTCATTGTGCTTCTCTGGAAACTGATGTTGGTCACAAACTGAGGATCTGTCTCATTTATCACTGTTGTTAATTGTTTTTATGCTTGGTGTATATTCGCTCGAACAGGGCCCTCAAGATGCTCCCAGGGATCTGCTGGTGCCGATCTATCAAAGACTGGACAGCCTGTTGCACCTGCCATAACAACAATAAAAAAACATAATTAGAATGGCAGAACCACATACCGGGTTTGATCAAGTATGGAGAAGATTCAGTCACAGAACTATAGACTTTCACCTATACTGTACTGAAATTGTTTGTATAAATGATAAATAAATCAAATTATTGTACAAACCGGATTCCAAAAAAGTTGGGACACTAAACAAATTGTGAATAAAAACTGAATGTAATGATGTGGAGGTGCCAACATCTAAAATTTTATTCAGAATAGAACACAAATCACAGATCAAAAGTTTAAACTGAGAGAATGTATCGTTTTAAGGGAAAAATCTGTTGTTTTCAAATTTCATGGCGTCAACAAATCCCAAAAAAGTTGGGACAAGTCCATTTTTACCACTGTGTGGCATCCCCCCTTCTTCTTACAACACTCAACAGACGTCTGGGGACAGAGGAGACCAGTTTCTCAAGTTTAGAAATAGGAATGCTCTCCCATTTATGTCTAATACAGGCCTCTAACTGTTCAATCGTCTTGGGCCTTCTTTGTCGCACCTTCCTCTTTATGATGCGCCAAATGTTCTCTATAGGTGAAAGATCTAGACTGCAGGCTGGCCATTTCAGTACCCGGAACCTTCTCCTACGTAGCCATGATGTTGTGATTGCTGCAGAATGTGGTCTGGCATTATCGTGTTGAAAAATGCAGGGTCTTCCCTGAAAGAGATGACGTCTAGATGGGAGCATATGTTGTTCTAGAACCTGAACATAGTTCTCTGCATTAATGGTGCCTTTCCAGACATGCAAGCTGCCCATGCCACAAGCGCTCATGCAACCCCATACCATCAGTGATGCAGGCTTCTGAACGGAGCGTTGATAACAATTTGGGCTATCCTTGTCCTCTCTGGTCCGGATGACATGGCGTCCCAGTGTTGCATAAAGAACTTCAAATCGTGACTCATCTGACCACAGAACAGTCTTCCATTTTGCCACACTCCATTTTAAATGACCCCTGGCCCAGTGCAAATGTCTGAGCTTGTGGAGCTTGCTTAGAAATGGCTTCCTCTTTGCACTGTAGAGTTTCAGCTGGCAACGACGGATGGCACGGTGGATTGTGTTCACTGACAATGCTTTCTGGAAGTATTCCTGAGCCCATTCTGTTATTTCCTTGACAGTGACATTCCTGTTTGAGGTGCAGTGACGTTTAAGGGCCCGGAGATCACGAGCATCCAGTAGAGTTTTACGGCCTTGACCCTTACGCACAGCGATTGCTCCAGATTCTCTGAATCTTTTGATGATGTTATGCACGGTTGATGAAGATAACTTAAAAGTCTTTGCTATTTTACGCTGGGTAACACCATTCTGGTATTGCTGCACTATCTTTCTGCGCAACAATTGTGGAATTGGTGATCCTCTTACCATCTTGGCTTCTGAGAGACACTGACACTCCGAGAAGCTCTTTTTATACCCAATCATGTTGTCAATTGACCTAATTAGTGTTAACTGGTCTTGCAGCTGTTCGTTATATGCTCAATTTCCTTTTTCCAGCCACTTATTGCTACTTGTCCCAACTTTATTGGGATTTGTTGACACTGTGAAATTTTGAATCAACATATTTTTCCTTTAAAATGTTACATTTACCATACCATACCAATTTATTTCTAAGGCACTTAAAATACAACAAGCAGTCGTCCAAAGTGCTGTACAAAATTAAAAACAAACAATTAAACAATAAAAACATCTAAATATACATAAAAAAAATAATAATCAGAGCATCATAAGTAAAAGAATACAACATTATGACACAGATGCGGACTCACTCTAGGTTAAAAAAGCCAATGAAAAAAAAAGTGTTTTTAAACAAGTTTTAAAAACAGAAAGTGACGGGGCCTGCCTGACCTCCAGCGGCAGCTCATTCCACAATTTAGGAGCCAGAGCTGAAAAGGCTCTGTCTCCTCTGGATTTATAAAAGGTTTTCGGGACTGCTAAAAACATACGGTCAGAGGAACTAAGAGCACATGATGGTATGTAAAAGTGAAGCAGTTCAGACAAGTAAGAGGGACTAAGACCATTCAAAGTCTTAAAAACAAACAATAAAACTTTAAAATGGATCCGAAACTGGACAGGAAGACAGTGAAGGGACATCAAAATTGGAGTGATATGTTCACGCCTGCCTATACCAGTCAAAAATTGTGCAGCAGCCTTTTGTACCAGCTGTAACCATGAGAGCGAGGCCTGGCTAACTCCTACCAACAGAGAGTTACAATAATCCAGGCGTGAAGTAATAAAAGCGTGGATTACTGTCTCTAAGTGGTGTCTAGAAAGGAGGGGCTTGATTTTTGACAGGCGCCTCATCTGAAAGAAAGAGGACTTAACCACATTGTTGACATGGCAGTCAAGTTTCAGGCAGGGGCCCATTTTCACTCCTAAATTTGTCAAAATGGATTTTTCATATGGGGCCAAAGAGGAAAAATCCAAGGTGGAGAAACTGCTAGGGCCAAAGGATTTAAAGACCATAACCTCAGTCTTCTTTTCATTAAAATGAAGGAAATTAAGTGCCATCCATTCTCTAATGTCATCAAGACAGTCCTGGAGAGACTGAGTGGTGCCAATTTGTTTCAAAGGGAAATAGACTTGACAGTCATCTGCATATAAATGAAACTGCACACCATGCTTTCTGAAAATAGAACCCAGTGGCAGAAGGTAAAGAGAAAACAGGAGAGGACCAAGAATAGAGCCCTGGGGTACCCCCAGGGGAGGGCAGCAGAAGCAGAGGTAAAATTATCCATCATCACACTGAAACTTCTATCAGAAAGGTAGGACCTAAACCACTGCAGAGCTGAGCCAGTGATGCCCACCCACTGCTCCAGTCTGGAGACGAGAATGTCATGGTCAACTGTGTCAAAAGCAGCTGTTAAATCTAAAAGCACAAGTAAAACACAGTTTCCAGAATCCAGTGCTAAAAATATGTCATTAAAAACCCTTAAAAGAGCAGATTCAGTGCTTTGGTACATTTTAAAACCAGACTGGAAGACCTCCAAAATTTTTAATTCATCCAAAAATGCCTTCAGCTGCGTGTAAACAATTTTTTCCAAAATTTTGAATATAAAGGGTAACTTGGAGATTGGCCTAAAGTTTGACAAAGATGATGGATTAAGGCCAGGTTTTTTCAACAATGGCTGCACCACAGCATGTCTAAAATTGCTTGGTACCACACTAGACATCAAACTGCTGTTGATCACATTTAAGATAAAGGAGCCAACAGTAGAAAATACCTCCTTAAGAAAATATGGAGGAACAACATCAAGGGGAGAACCCGATGATTTCATACTGGTGACAAGTTTCTCTAGATAGGAGAGGGAAATAGGCTCCAAATGATCAAAAACAGCAGGACAGGGGACCAGGATGGAAGGGTCATGGGATGGAAAAGAGATACAGGCCCTAGTGTTAAAAACCTTGTCCAAGAAAAAATGAAGAAACTTATCACAAAGTTCTCCAGATGCTTCAAGAGGGACCGGTTCATGTGCATTGAGGACAGTGTTGATTGTATTATAAAGAACATGGTGGTTGTGAGAGTTAGCAGCAATAATGTCAGAGAAATATTTTACTCTAGCTATTTTCACAGCTCGTTGATATCGACGCCAACTCTCTCTCAGTATATCAAAATAGACTTGGAGTTTATCCTTTCTCCACTTGCGTTCATTTCTCCTGCATTCCTGTCTAATGGCACGGGTATGGTCACTCAACCATGGGTCTGATCTTGGCTTTGATCGCCTGGTTTTAATCGGGGCCACATCATTCAATACAGTATTGCATAAAGAATCAAAATATATGGAAAGCTCCTCAGTGCTGAGAGACACAGAGAGCTGTGACTCTAAACGATTAAAGGCAGTGGAAAAATGGGCAGCAGAGGACGAGTTAAAAACACGGCAGCGTCGAGCAGGAGCACAAGACTTAGGTTTAGAAACAGGAATAAAATCAAATAAAACAGGCATGTGGTCTGAAAACAATGCATCACCAATTTCCAAGTTAAAAATAGATAAAACCATAAGATAAAACAAGGTCCAGGGTGTGTGTACGTCCATGGGTTGGGCCATTCACTGACTGAGTGAGACTAAAAGCATCCACTACATCTAAGAAATCCTTCACCAGCGGCTTTCCAGTGCAACACACAATATTAAAATCTCCAAGAATTAAAATGTACTCAGATTAAACATTTGATCTGTCATCTATGTTATATTATGAATAAAATATTGACATTTGCCATCTCCACATCATTGCATTCAGTTTTTATTCACAATTTCTTTAGTGTCCCAACTTTTTTGGAATCCGGTTTGTATGAATCACTGAAATACAGTCTGAAATGTCCAACCACAACAAACACTGTTATAGCAATCCTGTCTTCTGTTGTTGTTTTTGAAGGAAACCTTCAGATGATCACAACTAATAATAGACCACACGTTCTGCTTTTACTCATTTTATTAATGAACATTGTAGCACATCAGAACAAGCTGATGTCTCCTGTCGTTGAGGGATTTGAACAGTGAACGTTCAAATAGTTCTGCAGATGAGTGTTTTTCATCTGGAGATTTTTCATCAGTGGAATTGAACAGGGAATGTAAGTAAACCTTAAAGTTTGTGGTGGAAGATATTCAAGTGGGTAGGAGTTACACTGAGGAGAAGAAAACAGGTGTGTCTGTGTATATCCATCCATCATCTGCACCCGCTTCTTCCTTTGGTTTGCGGGGTTCACTGGTGCCCATGTCCAGCTGTCAGTGTGCGAGAGTCGGGGGACACCCTGAACAGGTCTCCAGTCCATCACAGGGACACCTGGACAGGTCTCCAGTCTATCAAAGGGATGCAGAGACAAACAACCATTCACTCTGGCTGAGTGGTTAGAGCAGTCGTCCTCCAATGCGTGAGTTGGGGGTTCGAATCCACCAGCAGTCACATGCTGAAGTGTCCCTGGGCAAGACACTGAACCTCTCATAGCTTCTGATGTGTGTCTCATCAGTGTATGAATG